TATTCTACTGAGCCATCTCCCCAGCTCCAAGGCCATTATTTTAAATAGTTCTTTCATCTGATTGAGGACTAGCTATCTCCAAAATATTGATGGGTTTTTGCTTCAGCTGAAAGAAGGTACAATTGGCTCAGTTCTAGTCCGTCACAATTATTAGAAAAATAACCACTGAACTAGAGAGACTTAGATTCTTCTTGGCCTTCATACTTTGACAGAATACCTCTTTGATGTCACTTTAGTAAATACTTACTGAGCACCTACAATGTACCTGTCCCTCTTCTAGGTGTCAAAATGCAATTAAAATCTCCCCTTGTGGAGCTTACATTTCAGTGATGGGAGAGAGAGGGTGAAAATCAGGAAATTACATAATATGTTAGTGGTCTACAGGAAAAAATGGTGAAGGAGGACAGCAAGTACAAATTGGGGATTAGGAGATTACAGTTTTTAATTTGTTAGTCAAGATAGGCCTTCCTGAGAAGGTGGCACTTGAGTAAAGACCTGAAGGAGGTGAGGAAGTGAGCCACTTGGGAATATCACAGGAGCTTCCCAGAAAACAACAAATACAAAAGCACCCACAGTGAAAATCTGAACCTTCATATACTGTTGGTAAAAGGTAAAATGGCTCAACCATCATAAAAAAGTTTGGCAGTATTCAAAATGTTACATAAGGATAAATTACCATATGGCCTAATCACTACTGGATATCCAAAAAGAATTCAAAGCAGAGATTCACATACTTGTATATGCTCATATCTGCACAATTCAAAATAGCCAAAAGACAGAAATAGCTGAGATGTCTTAAAGGAATAAGTTATATGTCTCATAAAATATTAGCCATAAAAAGAAATGGACCTCAAACATGCTCAGTGAAGGTAAAAGTCACAAAAAGACATGTCATTGATTCCATTTATATGAAATACCAGAATAGGCAGATGAGTTGTTTCTAGCAGCTGTGAGGAGGGAATGGAATTTTATTCTAAGGCGATGAAAATGTTTTAGAACTAGATACAGATGGTTGTGCAACATTGTAAACTTACTAATACTGGCACTGTATTGTTTGCTTTAAGATGATTATTTTTATATTGAATCCCTTCCCTTTTAAAAAATTTAGTAATATGAAGAAAGCTTCCTTAATCTAATAAAAATGATGAGAAAGAGGCTTATGCCTTAAGGGAACAAGACTAATAGTAAATAGAGTTTAGGGATAAGGGCTGACAGGTTGGGTCTGGGAAGTCATGTAAGAAAAGTAAGACATGACGGAGTGTTTGGGATGGTGAAAGTATAAGGGATAAGTGGCTCAATTTCAGCTATGTGTTGGAGGTTGAGACAATGTAATGATGGTTTCAGTATGAGGTGTGAGAAAATGTTAAGTGACAGCATGATCAACAAATAGTCTGATAGGGGCCGGGGAGACGTCTCAGTGGAATAAGCACTTCCCTGGCAAGCGCAAGGGCCTGAGTTCAATCCCTGGTTCCGCCAAAAAAAATAGTCTGGCAACTGGAAAGATGATGTGAGATGGAAAACACTAAACAGATTTGGGAAAAGATGACGATTTGAGACATGTTCGAGACATCCATTAGATAATCGGGAATATCACATTCTTTCAGATATATAGCTTAGAGCATTCAGACAGAGGCTGGGGAAACCAGGAATCAGCAGTGGAGACTGCAAAGTGGCAGTCTCCAGGAAGACTTAAGGAAGTGTCCTTGAAACTTGAGGCACCCTGTTTGTAGAAGGTGGATGCTGCCTTGTTCTAGAGTTGTGACATTTTCTGAATCTCTTGGCTATTCCTGAACATCACTTAAAAATTGTTCTTAGGAGAAAATTCAGAATGATAATAATTTACAGTGTATAACTATGTACCTGTATACGTGTAAGAAAATACACAGTTTACAATATTTGTTAATTACTCAGTACAGTAATTAGAAAAACAGCACATAAGACTCTCTAGAGGCTGACGCAGAAAGATCAGTGAGTTTGAGAACAGCCTGGGTTACAAACTGGACTCAAGGCCAGCCTGAACTGCATAACAAGACCCTGTCTCAAAAAGACAAAAAGGGCCCGCTCCCCAACTGGGCAGGACGCGCCCGGCGCGCAGCGCCCGCACAGCGCCGCGGACCGGGCCGCCGCGCCAGAGCAAGCCGGGAACCAAGCCCGGCCCCACCGCACCCTGCGCCCAGAGCCTCCCGCAGGGGCGGAGCCTGCCGCGCTCTGGGCGCTCTGGGCGCGCCGTGCTCGCCTTCCGCTGCTGCCTGAGCTGGGCGCTGGCCCGAGGGCGCGCGCGTCTCAGGTGTGCTCATCTTTTGCTTCAGGGCCCAGACAACAGCATGAAACGCTGTATGCATTTTGAACCTGTTATCTTACACCTTCAAAAATGAATGAGTTCCTGGAAAATTTTAAGAAAAATCTTCATCTTCGGACAGTTCATTCTGAATTGGTTGGATACTGGAGTGTAGAATTTGGAGGCAGAATGAACAAAGTATTTCATATTTGGAAATATGATAATTTTGCTCATCGAACTGCAGTCCAGAAAGCATTGGCCAAAGATAAAGAATGGCAAGAACAATTCCTTATTCCAAATTTGGTTCACATTGATAAACAAGAGAGTGAGATTACTTATCTGGTCCCATGGTGCAAAATAGAACAGCCTGCAAAAGAAGGAGTCTATGAACTGGCTACCTTTCAGATGAAACCTGGTGGTCCGGCTCTGTGGGGGGATGCATTTAAAAGGGCAGTTCATACCCATGTCAATCGAGGCTACACAAAGCTAGTTGGTGTTTGCCACACAGAATATGGAGCACTCAACAGAGGGCTTTATGGCTAAGAGTTTGCCTTGAGTCCCAGAGAAGCATGGGGACTTGGACTTCTAAGCAGTGCTGGGACTGTTGAGGGAGGCCTTTAATGCATTTTCTGCTGTATGTGGGATACTTGTATCATGCTAGGTAGATGATAACTTTGAATTTATATGAAGATTAACTATCACTGAAGGGGATGTGTTTTGATATCAAGCTAACAAAAGATGAAATATGACAGTTAAGCTTCATTGACAGTTTGATTGGCTAGAAACTACTTAGTAGATTTGTAAAGCACACTGTAGTTGCATCTGGGTGGGCCATGGAGGTATGACCGTGGGGCCTGGGTCTGGTCCCTGGCCTCTTCCTCTCTGGCACTGGTCCTCTGCTCTGCTATCCAGCCACCATGAGCTAAGGAGCTTTGCTTCACCTTGCCTTTCCACCATGAGGTTTCTGCCTGTGGACCAGCGGATCCCGGACTGAATCCTCAGAAACCTCGAGTCAAATAAAGCTCTTCTCCTTTATTCACTTAATAGTTTGCCCTCAGTGTCACTCAGGCAGCACATTTGTTTATATACTGACTATACAGAGTATCGCTAGGGCAAGTGACATTTCAATGAGTCAATTCTTGTTTCCAAGAGATACATTCATATCTGTTTTATAGCAAGTATTTTTTGTATATTTTATAAAGACATTTTATTTGCCTTAATATTTGTTTCTAGTGAAATCTAATTAGAAGTTCTGGTTATTTTCTTTTACTAATTTGTGTTTATTTTATTTGTGAAAAATAATTTATAATTGTGTGCTGCAATATCTCGGTGATATTCTTGTACTAGGAATTAAACTTAGGACCTTGTGCTTGCCAGGCAGATACTTATGCCACTGAGCTATGTCTCTGGCCCTCAGTGATATTCTTTTACAATACAAAATGAAAAGGTTTGAGATTGAATATAAAGGAAGTGCCAAAAGATCTGGAAATAAAAAGCTGAGAAAGGGGAAAAATCTGTATTATGAACTGGAAAGACAAAAAGATATCTTATTCTCAATTATCCATAATACAGAAATGATAGAACTTGAAAGGAAAGCCAAACGTAACAATTCCAATATAGTCAGTGATTATAATAATTCTGTGGGTGGTGCTGACAGAGTTGACCAACATCTAACCATCTATCTTATAATCCAAAAAGCAAGGAAAAACATTATAAAATATGTATGAACCTTCTGGACCAAACAGTATGGAACTTGTTATTTATTTAAATTAGAGGGTTCAAAAGCTCATTTACAATTTAAATTAGGTCTGATAGACCAAATAATTGAAATATACAGGATAGTGAAACACCAACCAGAATGTCCATCATTGACATCTTCACCATTACAATTACTGAGTAGGAATTTTATCAAAATTACACTAACCTCAGAAAAAAAGGAAAGGCCAGCACAAAAGTATAAGGTTCTGTTGTTCAAATACAGACAATAATGTAAAAAAGAAGTCAGAAAAAGACGAGATACTGCTGTCTAGATGTAGTGTTACATTGTATATTATATGTTTTAAGATATCACATGTGTAGAAAATTATTGAATAAAACTGTTCTTATATTTCCTGTTTTAAAAAAAAAAGACAAAAAGGCTCCAATTGCAAAAACTTGGACTCAACACTAAGAAAATCGAATGTCCCAATTAATCCCAGACACGGTTAATTCTGCATGCAGTCTTATAACAATGCTACTGTTTTGTATTTGTAATAGAAAGTATTTATATCTTGAACTAATATGCATTTTGTAAATAGGAGATATAGCTCAGTGGTATGTACTTAGCATACAGGAGGCTCTAGGTTTAATTCCTATTCCCAGCACCAAAAAAAGGTCTGAAAAGACATACCCACATGGTCAAATAAATTTAGGGAATGTTACATTAAAGCTAAAAAGTTAGTATAATGTATTTTTACATTATATGTGGCCGATGATTCTTTAAGAGAAAATTTATACAGATTTAGGGAAAATACTCTCCAATTGCAACATTAACCCCTAGAGAACACTGGTCTAGAATAAACATTCTGTAAGGCTGGCCAAATAGCTCAGAAGGTTAAAGTGCCTGCAAGCAGGCATAGAGTCCAGCAGTTCGATCCCCAGGCCTGCTGTGCCAGCACCACCCCCAAGGCATACTGAGATGGCAATTGAGACTGGGCATGGTGGCACAGGCGCCTGTAATCCCAGCACTTGGGAGTCTGTAAACAGGCGGATCACTACGAGTCCCATCTAGCAGTGAGACCCTGAACACCCTGTAGACCCTTCCCTAAAATACAAAAAAAAAA